CATACATTTTTTCTGGGTTTTGGATTTTGTTCGTTTTGCATATTTGCTAAAGCAACTAGGGAATCCAATCTCGCATAAAAATCGAAATCCCAAAACTTTGCGGAATCGAGATCATCAATACCGCAGACCCGCGGGATTTGCGGGACTGAAAACAATTTTTGAAGAAATTGTATTATTTCTTCTAAATAAATTCAAAATTGATATGTTAAAAAGACGATTTGCTCTAGAAAATCTACGTATTTACTTTTAATTAGGTTGCCTTTTTTGATAATATTTCCGAAGGAATGATAAAGTCTTTAAAGTTTCATCTTTTAAATTCTACCTTAATTTAGTGCACAATCTGGAACTTTTGATTTTGGTGATTATGCATAGTTTCGTAGGTATATGGTCAAAATCGCTCTATCTGGATTCTGAGTTATTCAAATTTTACTTAGTTGTCTTGTTTTTCCGCGTGACTTTCTTACCGTTTGATATTTGAAATTGGCGTTAAAGTAGTATATTCTATACAACATACTCTTGAAAAGTACACGAGAGCTGAATGTGTGACCCTAATAGAACCGTGTTATGAGTAAATAAACGAAATTTAGCATCTGAATGGAAGCTCAGGAAAAAAATCGTGTTTATAAATCGGTAAGCGTACAAAGTTTAAGCTAGTTATTAAGGCGAACGTTTTCAAATTTTAATCAATCACGCAGGACCACAAAAAAACTCTATGGAAGTTTTTTTTTTTTTTAACCAGACCAGGTTTTTTATATGTTTTTGGGGTTGGTTAACACGAATATGAAATCCATTGTGCTTCATCACGTCAGGATTTGCTCATAATCTCAAAAAACATTGCGAAACTCAATGAACTCCTCCAAAAAGCCTTCTGGAGTATGTCCTTTAAAAGCCCTGCTGGAAGGCCTTCTATGAGTCGCGAAAGAAGAAGCCCTTGAATTGATGACAAAAAAATGGAGAAAGGAATGTAGAGTGGTAGGCCTCTTGACTCTCGGGAAGGCCTTTCTGAAGGGCTTTTAACTCCTGAGTTACAAAAGGAGTTATAAAATGATGTATATTTAATACAGCCATGCAGGACGAACATTTTGGCGAGTTCGGTTTGGTTCAAAACACGCATTCGTCTTTTTATTCAGGATCAGGACTCGAGTTCCACTGCAGGCAACAGCAAATTAATTCTATTTTTTTTTTTTTTGGTTTTTATCTTGATTATTCACTTCACGCATGCTTTTTCCGAACGAACGCGGGGTGATTTTAATATTTTTTCCCCTCAGTGTAATAACAATGCATATTTAACACTAATGAATATTCAAGGTAGCTAGACAGGTGGGTTTTCTTTTGCGACTGAAATACACTCGGAGGTTTGCCATTACCTGCCTATTCTTAGATGTTGCTTGTACCGGATATCGGATCTAGATCCTACCGATTGGTAGCAGGGATCTCCAACAAACTACTGGACTACGTCGGTAACCTCGTTTGCACTTGCATATATTTACAACTGCATATTAATAATAAATGTAGCCATTGGACAAATTCATGAATACTGTAAAAAAATGCCTGACAACGCACAAATATTAAAACCGGCCTTCGTTTTAAATTTTATGCTACATATTTATTTACACACAAAACATTAATGACTAACAAAGCAAAGTAAAAAATATGAAAAGGATATTGAATGTTCTTAACAAAAATACATAAAAATTGTGGTAGTATATTGTCGCCATTGTTTCTTTCAAGAAAGTTAAGTCAAGCAAGTTTAGCTAAGCATGGCGTTAGTTGCAAGTGCGTGCACGCATATCTAAAATATATGTATTCATGTAAGTCAAGCTGCAGTTGACAGGATTAAATGCGCACAACACATACGAGCGAATAAAATAAAAGCTGTAGCGTATAAGTTGATTGTCGCCAGACTAAAACAGAGTAGTCCTTGCGGGCAGCTGAACATCGCTACAGTTATGTATTACGGTTTACATCTTAGTGGCATATTACCAGTGGCAGGCCTAAAGTGAAATTTTGGAGGGCAAGGGGGGTGGCCATATTGAAAATTTTTGAAATCGGACAAAAACCACGGTCTCCACCAACGTAATGGAAATTTCAAAAAACTTAAAGCTAGCTAAATTTTTTAGGAGGAGAAGGTTTTGTACGATTTCAAAAATATTCAAGACGGTACTTAAGGAAGCTAAGCACAATGTGTATACCAAATTTGGTCAATATCGGTCAAGTAGTTTTTGAGGGGGGGGGGAGGGGGCGCACCCCCATTTTCCTCAAATTTTTTTGAAAAACCACTTTTTTGCTAAAGACCGTTTGTATATATCAATTTTGAATAATTGTTGATGAACTCCATAGCCACAGTGCTCAAAAAATCTAAAATTCCGGTACATACATACATATAAATTCAAGGTCGTATTTAAGAAAAGTCGCCTAATTTTGAAAATTTGTATGCGATTACTATTAATGAGGTATTAGTTTATTTGAAAATTGTATTTTAGATAGTACTCCATATTTTGAAATTGTAGAAATTATCGATGGTCAAAATGTAAAAAATTAACAGAAATATGGGTATTTTTTAAATTTATCCGATAAAAAAAAGCCCAACAAGCCTACTCCGACGATAGATTACTATATACCATTTTAAAGGCCTATATATCCTCTTTTCATATCGTATTCGGCCTTTGAAATCGAATCAAAAATAGTCATTCAAAAACTGGTAAATCTACAAAATCCTATTTTCCGAACTAAAACGACAGCTCGCGACCTCGAAATGATCTATAAAAATCTGTAACAATAGGCAATAATATTTCTCATAAAAACCAATAAAATTAGGGGTCTTGAAATTTCCAAAAAAAAAAAAAGCATTTTCGATAGGTACCCTAATATGTATGTACAGAGAAAGCTACCAGTTGTGAACTAGAATGCTACCAGTTTGTGTTTTAGCCCAACTAGTTCACGTTCTATCCTTTTTCAATGTAAGCGACTGGTATTTTTAACATGGCGATGTCAGGCTATGCATCAGCTTCTACCAGTATAAATACTAGTAGCATCATAAGTTGATGAGATAGTCTGCCAATTCATCCTCCGCGAAAAACATAAGTATGCCATTTTGCTCGCGACGCTCCACAGTCGCAATGGCGGACAGAGCAGAACACTGGCGGGGTATACCTAAGGTCCAAGGCTCGAGTCCCGGCGCAGGAATATGTTTTCGTTTTATTTTTTATTTAGGGTTTTAATTGTAATCTTTAAATTTAATTTTTTTGTTTATTTTTTTATGCTGCAAGTATTTCTTTCCATATCATGATTTTTCTGCAATGAAATTAGATTTTCAAATTTTTTATTTATATTTAAATTGAAATAATTATATTGACTTACATTAATTTAATTTGAAAAATCTCAACCACCCCCAAGCGGACTCGAACCTGCGATCTCAGAACCAAAATTGGTAATCTTCACGCAACACCACACTGACATTTGCAAAAAAGGAATTAATTGCGTTTTATTTTTGGCTTTGGCAATTCAAAGGCAGATGTCGCTGAACGCTATAGTTAATGAACTAGTATTTTTGCAGACTGGTTTGGCTTTTCACTTCAGGGTACATATATGTATGTAACTATACATTAAAGTGGTCCAGTTTTTGTATGGGAAAAAAATTCCATACTAAAAAATGGGGCACCCCCTTAGTTTTTTGAATTTTCAATTTTTTTAATTTCATTGGACGATTTCGAAAGTTAACATGGTGTTCAATATTGACACCAAAGCTTTTGCGCTAATTTTAATTTTTCGATGAGTTATTTGCCAACAAACTTTAAGGCAGGCTTTTACACTTTTTGCACTATTTCAGCAACAATTCATTCGAATGTTATGATTTTTTGACAGCAATTAGAAAACTTAACTCATCTCTAATATCAATACCATTTTTCAATTTTCTACCAATACAGGGTACTCAATGACCTACTGGATCGCAGTGAAACTGGCAAAAATGTTGGTGATTTTTATAAAACTACTGCTGCTTTTGGCATTTTTTTTTAGATAATTTAAATTTTAAATGGTTTAAAGTTGCTTAATCAATTGTTTGATTAATATATGTACACAATACTTCTAGAGTAAAATATGAGCATCGTGAACATCCTCTAAATTTATACTTAGAAACGTACAGTTTGGTATCAGCACTTCTCTCGGCAAGAGGAAAAATTTTGATTTTGATTATTTTTGCTGCCACTTTCAGAAGTCCGTATAACCTAGAGTAGTGAGTAGATAGTAACTATCTCTCAGTTTGCCATCCAATTTTTTTGCTACGTACTTTGGCCGCTTAACGTTACGCAAATTGTTGCCTGTGTATGAAGCTGTCTTCCTAATCTTTCTATGCTTTTACGTTATTAACTTTCTAAGATCTGAATAGTTAGTGGTTGCCGGCCAGTTACTGTGAGTTCGGCCAGTTGGAAAATCAGTCATATCATCATTATTTCGGCTATCTTTGCATTCTGTATTGCAGTCTTCCACATCCACAAGTTTTGTGTATACCGTGTGCCGTTCTGCTATCATTTTCCATCTCTTTTAATTTTGTTCTTCGCTTTGCTTGTTTATTTACCGCACGTAATTAAGTCCTGCCACGCATATGAATCAACCGACGACAAGCGAAAAGCCACGAAAATTTTACCAAAAGGTTCTGACAGATTCACTTGCCCGCATTAGCCGTGCTCATTAACCTTGCACGTCATGCAATGCCAAGTACAATAGGAAACTTAATACTGTATTCTTTTGTATATTTATTTTTTTTTTTTGATTTTGCCTCCAGCTCGCCAACTTCACCTTGAATAATGACTGCACATTTTTAGTATTTAAATTGTATGTATTAAGGATTTATTACTACATTGTTTTTATTTCGTACATAAAAGTATTAACTTAAAATCACTATCACTATTTAATATACTATGTACGACTGTGAACGCGTATAATCTCCAACATCTCACATGGATTGAAAAAAGCATAAAAGCCTTAAGATCACTTAAAATTTACTCAGCCGAAGAATCCACCTCTCCGACCACCACCACCGAAGAAACGGGGCCCTCCGCCACCGAAGAAACGGGGCCCTCCGCCACCGAAACCGCGCCCTCCACCACCGAAACCGCGCCCTCCGCCAAAACCGCCTCGCCTGCCAAAATGCCTTCCGAAGCCAAATTGGCGTGCCTCTCGCACACCTTGATTCTCATGTGCCGATCCAGCATCCNACCGCGCCCTCCACCACCGAAACCGCGCCCTCCACCACCGAAACCGCGCCCACCGCCACCGAAACCGCGTCTTCCACCAAAACCGCCTCGCCTGCCAAAAAGCCTTCCGAAGCCAAATTGGCGTGCCTCTCGCACACCTTGATTCTCATGTGCCGAACCAGCATCCACTGTTAACAACGCAGCCGCTGCCTGTGGGGTGTTACCAACCGCATCGACAACAGAGATGCCTTCCACTTCCTTTTTGCCAGCCACAGTCATAATACAAATAGACAGGATCCATAATGTAGCAATAAAAATCATTGAACGCATCTTGGCAAATTAAACGTTTGTTGACAATTTTTTTTCTTTAATAATATAATATTTTCATCTGCTCTTAACTGATGTATCGAAACACTGAACGTTAAATGATAACTGATTTGGCGACTCTGTACATTTATAGCCGGATTTCTGCTAGTCATCTATAGTCTATCAGAATATCGATTAAAAATTTACGAAAAAAATTTTTGCGCAGTTTCGTTCTACATACGCTTATTTCTAATATTTTATTCTGATCTCTTTTCAAATACATATGTACATATGTATGAATAGGCAAAATTTTTGTATAGGGGATTTTTCTCTCGTTATGAAAGTATTAAACACAAATGTAAAGACTTACATACATATGTGCACATGAGCATACCAATGTAAACTAATTATTCCGCTAAGACGTCTACATAATCATAATTAAGAACACTATACCGGCCAGCAGAGAAAACCTGATTCCTTTTACATCTTTCTAAATTATTATTTTTTAATACATACATACATTTGTTAGTATGTTTGTACATAGGAAAACGTGTTCTTCGCGATTGTTTGTGAAGCTTTGAACCTAATCAATTACTGTCAGC